GCATGTAGAGGTGGGGACTTCCGACCAATGCAGCTCCCACCCGTAGGACAGCCATCAGCCAGCTTTGGTATGTCCCAGCCTGGATTCTTCCTTCGGCTCAGTGGAGAAGGGGCGTTGGTCCTACCTGAACGCTTCTTTTCGGGGAGCCGAAGGGAGAATCCAGTCCCACCCTGTATTCTGTCTGGTTGGAATAGGGAAGAAATATCCCTTTTTTTCTCAGTATCAATGAACTGTCTGTTTGAAGACAAGGAGCAGCTGAATTTGCTTCAATGTCGTTCAGAACTGGGGACCGTTACCAGGGGGTGTGTCCTCAGTTTTTTCAACTCGGTCTGCAGAGCTAGGAGACTAGAGACTACCCCCAGCCTGGATTCTCCCTTCGGCTCCCCGAGAAGAAGCGTTCAGGTAGGACCAACGCCCCTTTTCTTCTGAGAATTATCTTATGCCAGTTCCTTTGCAACCTTGGCTAAAAAAATGGTAGTAAAAATTAGTCATAAGCAGTGACTTTCCTTCCAAAAGTTCTATAGTAAATGAGAGTGCAATATCAACACATGTGCAAAACCTTGGATTGCTATTCCACCTAATTCAGAAGTGAAACCAGGTAAAATAATATCACAAAAACACTGAAAAATCAATGAACTTCATACAAACATATTTATAAGAAAACACACTGGATTACTTAAGTCAGTTTTAAATTTAAAATCTTGTTGCGCTTATTTGAAATTCTTAGTCTCTGTTTAGATAGATATGATTTTTATAAAAAGCACCAGCTGCTGAGTAGGCAAAGCCAACTCTTACCAACCCACTACTTCAATATCAGTGCCTGCCACCCAGTGAAGACTGTATATAATCTTCAATAGAGGTGCATATTATGAAATACAACTTCTGGAGACCCCTAGCCAATATGATTAATGATTAGAAGTGCTGGAGGTGTACTCAGTTGTACTCAGCAATCTCTAGAAGATTCCATAGTCTTCACTCCATCTATTAAAAGATAATTCAATGCTGTCTTTCTTTCTATTAGAGAACTGTATAGTGTTTCAGATGAATGAATGCCAATTATTCAAATATAATTAAGCCACTTTGATATGTTCCTGATGTGGACAAATATTTTTTTTTTTTACTTTTTCTACTATTTTTAATATAAACTAAAAGAAAACAGCTACGGTTGATAGGTGCTCATTGAACTAATACTGATGTTTTTTCAGTACAAGACTTATCTCTTGAATTGACAGTAATAATTTTAAAGTTAATTTTTCTTATGCTCAGTCTACTTAAAAATCCTTCCCAGTTTCAGCAGCTTATGTTGAAATGTTAGTGCTGAACGACTTATGTGTTTTTTTTTCTTCCATTCAATTGTGTCCAAGTCTTGGAGTGTTTCTTTGGCAAGGTTTCTCAGAAGGGATTTGCCATTGCCTCCTTCCTAGGGCTGAGAGAAAGTGACTGGTGCAGCCCAGAAGTGAAGTCCCTCAGCTGGCTTTAAGACTAAGGCAGGACTGGAACTCATGATTCAGTCTGGTGCCTTAACTGGTGCCATCAACTTGACTGTCTGTGTATTGTCTTATATAAGTGAATTGTGTCTATATTCCAGAGAAACAAGTATTGATAGGTATGCATCTTTCACACATTAATAGGCAATGCATAGATAAAGATTCCCTAAAATACGTAATACGTTTTCACATGTGGCATGAAAGGGAAGACTTCGTCAGCACGAGAATTAGTTTTTTTGTTCCCCTTAGTACATGGCATAAAATATATGTTACATTGCTAGAGACATAAGCTTACCTTCCAAAAAGCATATATTATTAGAGTTAATAGTACTGTTACAGAAGGGGGCTGAAAATACCAAAATAAATGTAATATGCAAATTACAAAGTACTTCACCTAGGAACAAGAAATCACATTTACAGATATAGGACAGAGAGCCTCTGACTTGTTAATCATACTTGGAAATATCACAAGTATATCACAATTGAATGTGAATCACTAATTTTAGGCTCTATCCATAGTTTATTTTCCAAATTATAGGAAATAATAGTTCTACTATTTTGCATTGGTCAGACCCAAAATACTATGTTTAGTTCGAAGCTCCACATTTTCAGAAAGTTTCAGAGAAACTTGACCAGATACAGAGAAAGTCAACAAATGTAGTTGGTAAATTTAAGTTTTAGGAAGAGAGCCTGGGGGGAAAGGGAGTACAGTACGCTTAGTCTTGAAAAAGGATGACTGAATCAGGATATGAAAGCATTTTTCCAACACCTGAAAAGAAGATCAAAGAGTGCAACACACAGAACAATGAGGGAGGGAAGGGGAAGAGAGAAACTAATAGAAAGTAGGAAAGAAAAAAGAAAAAGAAAAAAGTACAAGAAAAGAAAATACAAATTTAGAAGGAAAATAGAAAGAAAATATAAATTAGTGGCTTCTGATTTTATTTACAGCAGCACAAGTACAAATATATCTTGACATCTTTCTGAAGTTACATCATATTACTCTTCTTTCTATAATCTAACATGTCTAAAGTTATCAAAACTGTAAGTCACAGGTTTTTTCATTTTTATGCAAAAAGTCCATAACAGGCTTCCAGTCAGCAGAACTGTTGACAACATATTCTTAATCTTAAAAGGAAAAATTCCAGCTTCAATTGATCTGGAAAATCCTCTGTATCAAAGTATGTATTTAGATCCAAATGTTTTAGCTTTTTTTACACATTTACTAAGCATGATAAAATGAATCTTTTTGTTGTTTACATTTCCAACTTACATTTGAAGTGCTATATGTTCTAGATAATTTTTTGATGTTGCATTCCAATGACACTGTACATATTATCATTTTATAAAAATTATTTTTGAGATCATAAATGTACATTTCAATGCTTTTAACCCATATTTATCCCTGTACTTTTCAATTTTATGACTTGAACATTATCAATGTAGAATGGAAATACTAATCTCGACAAAGAGCATATTTATAACAGCATTTGGGGAGCTATTATGATACTATGAAGTAACTCAGAATTTCTTCTGCTCTGTGATTTCTCTAACCAGTGTGAAAAGAAAAAATTGGCTCTAGAACAGTTACTTCTCTCATAAACATTTTATGCTGGAACTGAATGACTTAATGTTTGCATGTTCATAGGAGGATCCCTCTTCTGGGCAAGTTGAGTCTTATTGATGTGGAAACCCAGATTGCCCCGAGAGGCTTTCCTTTTAAAAGAATTAAGCAAACATGAGTCAAAGCAAAGAAACACTTTAGTAAAGGGGAATCCAACAGTGCTTTCTGCCAACAAAGAACAAAAAAGCCAAAGTACAGGGCTCCTGGCATTCTTCTTGGAAACCCACATGTTGGTATAGGAAGATGCCTTTAGCAATGTTGACAGTAAATTGGCTAAAGCTACAAGTCTAGATAAACATGAACTTGAAGAAGGAAAAGAGGCCGCTGAAATTATTTCACTCCTTAATTATTTCACTTATCTTCTTGAGCATGTCATAGCTGCTCCTAAATTTTTCATGGCCAGAAGATGTGTTTACAATACTTTGTTATAGACATTTAGGTACACTTGCATAAATTACATATGATTTTGCAATGGTGGAAAAACAGCAAACTGCAGCCAGCAAAGAATGATGAAGTTCCAGTATAAGAGAATAATTATTCAAAATTTTATGCATTGCACATATTGTATTTTTGAATAAAACTACTGCCATATGGTTTATGGCTGAGCTTTTCCTTGGTCTTCTAGTACAAGTGAAATTATCATATTCTTAACTATAAATAATTGTAAAATTTAAAAGCATTTTATGTGTGCCACAAGATAGTTCTGTCCAATGTATCAGATTTCAGATGTAATTGTTTTAGGAATAATGCCCAATTTCACATTATGTTTCTTTTATATGTCTTAGATTATTCTGCACTCTGTTCGGCATTTCAGTATGGACTTTGATGATGATACTTGACTGCATAGAGTTAAAATCCTTGTTGTCTTGTTTTATTCTATTACCCACTTCACCCATTGTTTTTTATTTGCATGTTTCTTCTTAGTTCACTTTGCCTTCTGGTTTTGAGATAAGAAACACCTCGGCCTTAATTTAGCTATATGTTCCATTTGTGCAAATTGTGGGAAACTATTTTCCTTCAGGAAGGACTGAGGCTTTCCTCTGTTTTCTAAGTGGCGCTTTGCTGATGGAGCTAGCTAAAGTTTCTCTTTTTTTGGAGAAAATTCTTCCTAAAAGATAATAACAAGACTAACTTATTCAGGAACTCTTCTACCCTGAAGATATTTTGGAAGAGAAAAAGGACAGTACAGTACTCAAGGTACTTCTTGTGTAATTAATATACAACTCTGTCTGGTCTTAGCTAATATCGTGTTGCTGCTTTCTGCTGCCATGGATATTTCTGAGCAGCAGAATGGTGCACATTGCTCTAGCTAGGTTTGGAAAAGAAGTGGGAAACTCTTGTTTTTCACTGCTCCTTTCATTCAGTGGGCTCCTAGTATAGGGGAGACGTAATAATAATGACGTGATCAAAGGTGGGGCTGCCTTTGGTGCAGTGTTTGCTTAATGTGACATTTAAGTCCAAACTTAATAAATAAAACAGATCTCTTTCTCGGAAAAACGGGTTTCTTAAATCTGAGCATAGCAAAAACAAAAGATCAGTTATGCATGGGGAATGGAAGGAAAAAATTTAAACATGTTTATATATCTTTCTTTACTTACTTTTCAAATATATCTTTCTTTTTCCTCTACCAATTATGTATACAAGTATAAGGGTGAGAATTGCAAGCAAATCATGAAAATGTAAACATCTGAATGAGTCTTATAAGAAGAAATACACAGTAGATTGGCTTATCTTGAATTGTTTAGTTGATGTTTTCTTCACCATAGGCGCCTGGTTGAGCGTGTTCTGCCACCAATATCTCACTATTCATATTTAACCAGAGGTTTTAAACTAGGTGTTGCTATAAATACAATTTCTGTACTCTCTTTTTAATTTCTCTTCTTTTTTCCTAGAGCAAATCGTGGCGGAAAATCAAGAACATGGTGCATTGGTCCCCCTTTGTTATGTCCTTTAAGAAGAAATATCCCTGGATCCAATTAGCAGGGCATGCAGGTAATACAGATCATGTTCTGCCATTTGCCTCTCAGAGGGAAACTTCATTTAGTGAAAAGAAAATGCTCAGAAAGTCTCTTGGGGAATTTAAGATAATTGGCTAGTCTCAACATAAATTACTTCCGTAAATTGAATTATAAGTACTTGTATTTTTCTCCTACTGTTTTATCATAATAAGGTCAAATTAGGTTTGTACTAGAATTGCTGATTTGTTTTAGACATAGGAGAGCAGGCACCTGAGGAAATCAGTAATGCCCAAGAAATTGACTGTTCTGATTTTAAAACTATTTTAATCAAATGATTACAATAAATGCAAAGCTATTTGGCAACAAGACACCAACTTCTAACATAATTTTTAATAATAATAATGATGATGCTGATGATGTATTAAATGTATATGCTGCCCAACTCCCAGTTATTCTGGGATTTCTGAAATAGTTTTAGCTTAAGGAGAATGACTCTACCTTATATAATAGTCTCCTTAAACATTCCTAGAAAATAAAAATAATGTGTGTGCAATCTAGTGTTTGTCTGGAAATGTGTCACTGTCATAAAAAAAATGGCAAAAATAAATTGGGGGCTAGAAGAGATCATGAGACTCATCCTTGGGAAGGAGTTTTGAAACAAGCTGTGACAACCATTTCATAAGTATGCATAACTTCCTATGACAGCCGCTTTACCCAATATTTTTATCTTAAAATTCCAGTTGTGCTCAACAACTCCAAAATATTACTTAACTCTGAATTACATGTAAAATCTTAAAACTGTAATGCTACTTGAAATATTTGACCCAGGGACTAATATATTATATCCTCCCCTTGTCCTGTCATGTTAACAGTTTGGGCACAAAGCAAGCCTATGACTCTGCTTGCAGACAACTCTGAATTTCTTATAAAACAAATCTTCTGTGCGTCTTAGAAAAAATAGTATTCTGATACTACATCAGAATGATCCATGCAGTATAGGCCCTTCTCCATATTGAGGATGTCCTGAGTATGCCTCCTATAGAGAATTGTAAAGTTGTTTTTGTAAGCAAAGCAATATTGCTAGTTTCCTATGCAGTTTTTTAGATGTTAAGACTTCCCTCTAATTTCCATCTGCTACTATGTGATAGGAGTCAATTCTTCCCACAGAGTTCCCAGTTATCTACCCAAACAGCTCTAAGTTATATTATTAAAGTAGGGGTGGAGCACCTCTGGCCTGTGAGTCTGTAAGTTTTGCACATCCATTAGGATCACAACTCTTGTGGAAGAGCTTTTCCCCTCCACAAAGTCCTGTCTACAGAAACAAAGTGAAGATGTTGTAAGAAAAGAGATTCCGGCTTTCTCTCCATGCCTATATATATATCAGCAGAATTCTGTGCACAATTCATTGCAAGAAAAGGAAATACAGACTCCTTTTGTGAGTGATGCCTCAGAAGGCATTTACCAGTGATGCCTCAGAAGCATGTGCATGAGCATGTGTTATTTGGCCATCTCGCATTCCTGATGTAATGAAGTTGCACCACCACTTAGGGAAAACTGCATGATCTGCACATGAACAGGGGTGTCTGTCCTAAATCAAGTAGGACTGTAGTGGATATAGATTTCTGTTCACCTTTCTCTTTTATTCACACATAGAGGATTGATCAAAACAAAACGAGGAACCCAGAAATGCTTTAAAAAGTGTCATGAAGTCATTTATTGACATTCCCCTACCCCTTTTGTACAAACTCCTTTATACAAACCCCTTTGCAATGTTTAGATAATTTTTAGTACAAAAAGCAGGGAAAAGAGCTTTGTTTGGAGCAACACAATTGACCAGAAAGAAAGTCAGTTATATAATAGTATTTGTGTATGTGGAATTAGCAACATTCTCCTCTATAGTCATTCAACTTGCTCATGAGATGCATATATTTCATATGTCAATAACATGGACATAATGGGTTCAGCCTCATAATCATAAGAGAGTAACCTTAGATCATCTCCTCTTGTACATAAGAGAGTATTGAAACACTTTTATTAGTTGGGATGAGATGCTTTTTCAGTCTCATTTTCTGTCTCTTTCCCACATTAACCGAGGAAAAAAACACTTTAACAAAATATTCTATTTGGTGTTTTTATGCTGCTTTGTCTGAAGTAAATCTATATTATTGCCATTCATTCAATATCATAGTAGAAAGTGTCTAGGTGTACAGAATCAAAGAACAAAAGACTAATCTTGTTTGCATTCTCCAGGGTGGTGGCGAGGGGATCCAGGAATGGGTTAATGCTGGTCCTGTAGCTCTGAAGACTGGGTTAAAGTTCTGAGGAAACGCCTCCCTGCTAACGGTCCCCAGTTTTAACTCAGTCTTAGAACTCAACAGATGGGTTTTAACTAGCTCCCAGAACTTGGAGAGCGAGTACACCATTTCTGAATCTTTTCAATCTAGAAAGGGAAAAAAAGAGATAAACTTTGATAGATGGTTTCCTGGCTCCATCCGGTGCAGCCATATTGTGCCGTCTTTGACGGCCGCAAGCTCTCAGTTTGCTCCATGGTTCTGGCCAGCAGAGCCATCTCTCCTCCGGCCCTGGACAGCGGCCGAGGCCCCCTCTTTGGTTCCACGGCTGTGGGGGGTAGAGTCCCAGCCCAAGCAGCACCTATAAAATTTCAGTGTATATAGCCTTGTTTAAATACAATAGAAAAAGCTAAGAATTGTAGCTGATCCCAACTTGTTGCTGTCCAGATGCTACTGAATGTTATAGGAAATGAAATCCTGCATCCTGGAGAGTACCAGGCAGGAGAGCTGGGGCATTCCATAAAATATTCTTTGTGGCAACTTTTAAAAATGCTTCCATTTGTATTTTAAAAACAATTTTGTTTTGGTTTGTGTTTTAGGTAGCTTCAAAGCTGCAGCAAATGGAAGGATATTAAAGAAGCATTGTGAGTCTGAACAGCGTTGTTTGGACCGTTTGATGAATGATGTCCTTAAGCCTTATGTTCCTGCCTACCATGGAGATATTGTGAAGGATGGGGAGAGGTATAATCAGATGGAAGATCTCCTAGCTGATTTTGATTCTCCTTGTGTCATGGACTGCAAGATGGGAGTCAGGTTAGCTTTTCTTTATAGACAAAAATATAGAGTAACCTGATTCTTACAACAATATTTGAAAAGAAATGTGAGGCAAATATAGATTTTATTACCTGTATGTGAAGCCAGCAGAGCAATTTAGCCTTGCCCTGCCCTAGCCCTGCTGAGGGCTTGTTAAAGAAACAGTGAAAAACCTACTGATTGGTTTGCTTTAATGCAAATCTGAAGTTCAATTTCACATCGTATGTTTTTGCATGATCACTATAGATCAAGCTGATTTTTTATCTCTGTTTGAAATCTGACAGAGATGATTACCTTGGAAAAAGCAGATGATTTCATTTTTTAAGTTTAAGCATGGACAGACCAATGAAGCCTGATTGTAGGTGAAAGTTTGTTCTCTCCACTGAATAACAGAAAGAACAATCCAAAAGAAACTTCCCTAATCTAATGTCATTCTGATTTGCTATTAACTCTCATTACCATGAACCAGTAGATGGTCATGTTGACTGATAAGAACGGTGATGTCTAATATAACTAAAGATATAGTCTGCAATTCTTATCTAAATAATTTAAAACATGGGAATTTGACAAAAGGGGAATTGTAACTCATTTGGATTAGTAGTGTATCTAGGACCTTTATTTTTATCTCACCTTTATTTTTATAAAGAATTCAAGGCAGCAAACATACCTAATACTGTCTCCTCCTCTAATTTTCCCCACAACAACAACCCTGTGTTGTGGGTTAGAGAGAGTGACTGGCCCAAGTCATCCAGCTGCCTTTCATGCTTAAGGTGGAACTAGAATTGTGGTTTCCAGGTTTCTTGAGGAAAATGTCCTTCATAAACTACTTTTTAATAGCATTTTTGGTATTGAATTGTGCTCTCTAGCCACTCCATACCCATGATAGATAACGAAATTCACTGCCCTATGTCATCATAAATTTACTCTTTGTGAAAAAGGCTGTTTGCTGTTTGATTTAGAATTTTCTTGCACTTAAGGAAATCAAAACTCAAATTAACTGCATGAATAAATGGAATAACATTCAAAGCTGTGGGTCGACCAGCATATTTTTCCAAAAATATGAAAGATAATAGAGGATTACTACAGTTTACTTGATCTAGAAACAACTATAAATTTGCTGTTCTTCTGTAACTGTGTTTGAGAGTGTGTTTAGCATAGCTCTTCAACTATATATAGAATCTTGGCTGCTTTATTGAAAATAAATATACAGAAATATTATTTAATAATATGTATGAAAGATCAGTGACTCCATTTATATATTTCAAGCAAATTAATGTCTCCCAGATTTGTTGGAACTGCAGATCCAAAAATTCCCAGATATCATGGCCAATGGCAAAAGTAACTTCAGACACAATAGTCCTAAGAGTTACTAGGTTCTTAACTAGGTTGGTAAAAAAACCCAGTATATATTGGAGAAAATTAGGAGAAACTAAAGGATATGAAATTGTTCAATACCCATGATTAGCAGAATGCAATCCTAGAATGTATTTCTTGTCCACTGAATACTTTGATATAGAGGAATCCTTGGTGCCAATGTTCAGAAAACAGAGTGCTGAGAAGGATCAATTCAGTGTTTTTGTTTTTATTTTATCTCAAACCATAAGCAAGGTTGCACAATTAAGCTGATTTTCAGTAGACAAATTAAATTTGTTTCCTCACACATATATTGGCATCATTTCCATACAGGTGTCATGTAATCATTAATTCAGATGATTTTCAAAGAAATCAGTGAATAGAGATGTGTTGACATTTATTAAGCATTACCTTGAAGATCAGATTTAGAATATGGCTGCACAGAAACTGCTGGGAAGCATGCTCTGCTTGTGGCCTTAGCAATAGCAACAGCACTTAGACTTACATACCACTCCATAGTGCTTTTTACATCGCTCTCTAAGCGGTTTACAGAGTCAGCCTATTGCCCCCAACAATCTGGGTCCTCATTTTACCTACCTCAGAAGGATGGAAGGCTGAGTCAATCTTGAGTCTGGTGAGATTCGAACTGCCAAATTGCAGGCAGCTGACAGACAGCAGAAGTAGCCTGCAGTACTGCATTCTAACTACCGCACCACTGCGGCTACTTAGAAGCTATAAAGAAGATAGTGGATTGTGGGATCACTCAATGTAATCTGGTAGAGTTCTACTTATCATGGTAAGATTTAAGAAAAGAAAAAGCAACCTGTTCGACCCCTTGGATAGTAGTGTATGACCCTTCAATTCTCAGTAGCTCAGTCAGCATGGCCAATGGCAAGGGATTATGGGAAGAGTAAAATCACTATGGGCACAGTAGGCTGTCTACCCATGATTTAAAATGTTATCATTCTGAGATCAATAAATATGTCAGTGAACATTCTGCATATATTGCATGCTGTTCTCAGTTTGTACATGTAGACCCTTTCATGTTTGAGATACAAAACAACTGCTAAGAAATTAGAAGCTGTCATGACTAGGGCTGTACTGCAAATATGGAGCTGAATTAAGGTAAAATTAAATCTGTAGTTTATAAGATCTGTAACCAGAATCTTAATATTTAAGGTTAAAGGACACTGGAAAAGTGCAGAGTAGTTGCATATCTTTTATTGAATAAGTACTCCACAGTGATATTTCAAGAAGTACAGTACAGCTGTTGGAGAACAGAGCTCTCTGGTGGGCAAATGGGGAAAATTAACAAAACAACAATAACCATTTTTGTTCAATCTATTGTATTCCATACCTAGGTTCATTGTATGACAAATAACATGAAATGTCAGTAGCATTCTTTCATGTCTACTTGCCTGTAAATGATGGATGCACTTTAGATATGGAAAACATCCCAAAATACACAATTTAATATCTTAAGGAAACCATTCACATCTATCACGGGGCTTTCAGAAGCAACTAGTGACTCAGACCATTTCTGGCTACTTACTGTATGCATCATTGAAGAAGAAAACAATTGTTTTTTGTCTTCATATCATGTACTTTGGAAATTAAGATTTCTTCATCCTTTCAGAGTAGGCTATACAGGAAGGACCATGCCCTTGGAGGATAATTCTGTCTGCATTAGAGAGTGCTTCCAATATTTAAATCTGATTGACTCCAATATGTTGACTTCAATGGTTCAAAAAAATTGCCATTGTTATACTGATTATAGATGATGTTGGCTTCCATAATATTGGAATAAATGAAGATGCTCTAGAGTATGGATAAGTAATTTGTATCCCTCTATGATGCCCAACAATAAAAGTTACGTTTCAATAACTGCATCTTGCCTTATTGCATGTTGAGAAGATAGGAAGGAACTTGTCCATCTGCCCAGACATCTGTGATATAGTAGTAATAAATTGATTTCCAAATATGGTAATGTGAACATATATTGTCTTTGCAGGACCTATTTGGAAGAGGAATTATCAAAGGCCAGAAAGAAGCCAAGTTTGCGGAAAGACATGTATCAGAAGATGATCGAAGTAGATCCTGAGGCTCCGACTGAGGAAGAGAACTCTCAACATGCAGTGACCAAGCCTCGATACATGCAGTGGAGAGAAACTATAAGTTCTACAGCAACGTTAGGGTTTCGTATTGAAGGAATAAAGGTAGACTTTCAGATTTGTCTGTTGCAACAGTGCATGGGAAATGAATCTGTGATTAACTTGTCATGTAATGTAAAATGTCAAATATTTTTGTCTAGGTTTAACAATTCCATATATAATATATCTTTGCAAAGTACATGTTATTAAGACAAGTTTCTTTGGAGACAGATGTGATTTCCCATTATTAACTTGGTATGGCAGGATCATGAATTCTTTGTGGCATTAACTCTTTCCCTTCTCCTTTTTGTATTGAATATGCAGTTGGCAGTTATAAAACTTCTTGCCTTGCTCTGCCTTGCCCTATTACATTATTATGTAAAGTTCATATAATAGTAGTTTTTAACCTACTTATTCAACCAAGAGACTGGTCTTATGAATGGATAATATAGCAACATGTGAATTTTTCCTAAGAAACTCTGACTAGTGCAATCCAGTATGATTCTTCGGAGGCTTAGGTTCACTACATCCTCATCCTTATGAGCCATTTTGTCTGGCTACAAAAGCCATTTTGTCTGGCTACAGAAAAGGAATGGACTGATTCATGGAAGTCATGGGGATCAATGGGAAAGTAGTAGGGAACAGACTGTTGGACTAGATGAGCCAGAGTCCAATTCAGCAGGGCATTGCTTATGTTCATATAAGTGGAATGTGTCTCATACCTTATTCTTCCTTGTCTATCTGAGCAACAGTAAAAGCTCAGATGTAAATGGTTTACTGGATGTTGCAGACATTACAACATTCCCCAATTGTTTGGATATCTGAAGAAGTACAAAAAGGGTAATAGAGTGACATTAACACATTGAAACTTTTGGCAGTGTCTCTGGTGGTTTCAGATAACAGTTCTTAGTAAAGCTAAGCTTCTAGGAAGGAAATATTAAATTCTTATATAGAAACTACAATAAAAAGTTGTTTTTTATTCTACACATTGTTTTTAATACTTTTTTTTAAAAGAAAATGCCATCTGAACAATTATTGGAGCCCAAAGCATGCAAGTATCTCATTTTCAGGAATGTGAAAGCAAAAGTAAAACTAAGATTCGTGATGGCGAACATATGCCATGCGTGCTAGAAGTGGCACGCAGAGCCACTTTTGCCGACATGTGAGAGGTCGCCCGGAAGAGCCCCACTGCACATGTGTGTGCGCCGCCTGCTCGACAGCTGATTGTTGGGTATCTGGCGTGCATGTACAGGGGGCGGGGTGTGTGCGGGAGATGCGCCCATGCGCAGAGACACGCAGTGCACGTGGAGGTGAGTGCAGGCACAGGGAGTGGCCTTGTGCGTATTGCCTTCTGGGTGCTGGCACATGAGCGCGTGCATGAGAGCAATTTTCGGCACAGGAGCCAAAAAAAGTTAGCCACCACTGGACTAGAGGAACTATGGTGCCAAATGAGAGAGATATTTTGTCATTCCAATACAGTTCTAAACTACACCAGTGAGTTATATCTGCTTTTTTATATTAGCTCCAACTTTGGGCATCTTTGTGCTCATTAAACTAAAGCTTAAGAGGAGGGTTATATAATAAATCCCATGGGTTTAAATCAGGGGTGTCAAACTCAAGGCCTGTGAGCCAGATCTGTCTCATGGAGTGCTTAGATCTGGCCCGCAGGACCACCCTGGAAACAGTGAAGGTCCAGCCCGCAGTGCCTCTGCCAGTGAACACGAAGCTCAGGAGGGCCACACGCAGCTGTCCCAGGCTCCGTTTTCGGCCACGATGGTCTCCTGCAACTCTCTGCCAGTGAAAATAAAGCTCAGGAGGCACACATGCCCCCCAAAACTTCATTTTGCTGGCAGAGGGCTATAGGAGGCTGTTGCAGCTGAAAACGGGGCCCAGGAGCCCGTTTTCACTAGCAGAGCTCTCAGGCCACCACAGGCACCCCCAACACGAGTGATGTCATGCTACCACCACCCCCGCCCCCCCCCCCCCCGAGGTCGAACACAACCCTCATGCGGCACTCAATGAAAACAAGTTTGACACTCATGGTTTAAACGAACATTGGATAGTAGATTTAGGAATAACATTACTGAGTTTAATGAAATAATGGTCTGCAGCTTCCACTTGTTGCACTTACAATAGCTTACTACATTAAAACCTTAATATAATAACTTGTAAGACAGAAAGTTGGGGTAAACATATAGATTCTTTCCAGCCTTATAATTTCCATGATGCCAAAATGCATTCTGTTGAAGCGCTACATATCTAGCATTATTCGATATGGTATCTGCTCAAGAAATGAATTTTTCTCACCTCCTTTGCAATCATATTCAAAATAATCCATATCAAACCCTCCAAAAAGTTTCAAATGGAAGAAAAATGCCTCTAACAGCAGCAGCTGGATGCAACTGATTTCACTGAAAGCTATAAACATAGAAATGACTTCTTCAGTGTCCCCAGAACAACAAAAAAGCAGTCTTCCCCCACCCACCATGACTGTATATTAAGCTCTGATTACCGTCTCAAATTTTTGCCCTAAATTTTGTCGTAGGATATAGTGAGTTCTGTTTAGTGATCAGCAAGTGGTATTAATAGAAAAAGCTTCTTCTGGGTAATAGCCATGTTTTTGTCATTGTTTTTTTTTTTTTTAAGAAAGAAGATGGCACTGTGAACAGGGATTTCAAGAAGACTCGGACAAAGGAACAAGTCATGGACGCCTTCAGGGAATTTACAAAAGGAAACCATAACATTCTGGTGAATCACTCTATTTCCTTTGGCGTTCCTTACTTTGGATTAATTTAACATCCGAAACCACATGCTAAAATGCAAAGGGGAGATGTGTAAATGACTTGGGCTATACTTTCACTCAAGGATCAGCAGGCCACAACTGCCCCCAAATCCATTTTTATGCTCCTTTGAATTCTCCTCCCACCCCAATATCGTGCTGCCAAAATTCAGCAGCAGGGAAATGGTGGGGTTTGGGTGGGAATCTTTTTACTAATGAGCCCCTAAAATAAGTGATACACCTCTGGGCTTAGCACCCACTCTGTGTAAAAACAATACAGGCACCACAGCTAAGTAAGCCCAAAAGATTGTTTTTTGAAATAGTTGATGATGTCATAGTAATATGCTTTTGCAGGGCTCCAAAATAAAAATAAGTGTTGCCACTGAGCAAAATAAAGTTGCCTCTTGCTTTAACTAAACTAAACCCTTAAATAGATTGGTTCAAATTATGACATCTTGCTCAAAGCTTTTCAATCTCTTCATGTTATAAACATAATTTTAAATTTTAAATGTTCCTTAGAAGAAACTGATTTTGAAAGGAAGCATATAAAAATTGAAATATATAATCAAAATTGTGTTATCTCTTTAGTTTGTTGAATGTATTAATGTTAAGCCCAATCAGATTTAATAGAATATTTTTCTTCTTCTTTTTTTTATTAAATTGCTATCTGTTTATTTTCTAGAGCCAATGTACCATTCTAATCCACAGAGTCAGTACAGTTTACAAACCCCTTTCCAATAAAAGGATTAAAAAGTAATATATTAAAATAGCAAACAAATTAAGACAAACAGTAAATTACCATTTGCAATAAACTTTGCACAAAGTAATAAACAAATTTCACACACATACAACTGTAGGGAGCTTCCTTCTACACAAGAATCAAAGGGCTTTGAAATAGCCAGACCTTAAGACTTTTCAGAATGTTAACAGGAAAGGGACTAGTCTAATCTTGCGGAGGTGAGTGGGTGGGCAGTCTGTTTTCACAAAGACGACTCATCCTCAGAATCCCCGTGGATGATGTTCTCTTAAAAAAGGACTTAACATATGGATGGAAATGGAAATGAGAGCAGGATATTCAGGTCCCAAACCATATAGGTCACTATAGGAAAGTAACTAGCAACCATCACAGTTGCTGGAATAGTGTGTCACATAGGAATACCTAGCTATCATTACTCAAGCCACTGCATTCTGAAGCAGCCAATACAGGGCATATTGCAATATTCCAAAAACAGTTAATTAAGGTATGAGACTCTTTTCAAGCAAAGTTGTACCTGACGCATGAGATGTAATTTATGCAAAGACCCCAACTAGCCACAATGTTACCTGCTCTTTGCTAAAAAGCTGGGCATGTAGGAAGAGCCCTAGATTTTGAATCAGTTCTGTCTAGGATAGTGCAATCTGTCTAGAACTAGCTATCCGTCTTGCTGGGATTAAGCCTAAGCCTCTTCTTTTCCATCCATATCTTGATAGCCTCCAGCCATCAAGAGAGAACATTAGTCATGTCTCTTGCTTGGCCCAGGATCAAGATATACAACTGAGTTCTATCTGCATACTGAAGATGCTTAACCATGACTTCTCCCAATAGCTTCATATAAGGAGATGTTAAAAAGAAGAAATGAGAAAACCAAGCCTTGCAAGACACCATAATATTACTCATAATATTACTTGAGTAATTACTCCATTACTCAAAAAGGAAGAGAACAATTTGCAAAACGGCTCCCCCAAACCTAACCCATATAGTTCAAGTTCAACCAAGAAGGACAACCTAAAGTCACCCAGCACCATAAAATTGAGTAACTCCATCACCACCCCAGAAATGAGGTTGAGCAGTGCTGGAAGGGATAGTGGCTATGTTCAATGTGAAATAATTTTTATGCAAATAAATTTGCTTGCAATCCTGTCTTGTAGGAAGGTGTGAACAAAATTAAAGTTAAGTAACTCCATAATCCAAATATCTTATGTTAAAGGTGAACAGTCTGTGCTTCAGAGCTTACTATAGCACTCAGACTTGTGTGATGTATTCCCTCCTCTACTCTCACCTTTTATTCATTTTTTATAAGTCATTTGGTATCTGGGCTGAGATATGGGTCATACCTGATTCAGGAATAATGCCTTGGCTTGTGTGTGTGTTGTGTTGTGTTATGTGCATGAATGCATGCAAATATAGCATGTATGAGTTATATATATATTTTCTTGCAACTTCAGAACAGTTATCTTAACCGGTTAAAGGGAATACATGATACTTTGGAAACATCACCATTCTTCAAGACCCATGAGGTAAAATTATTCATTTCCCCTTTTGTCTTTTAAAAAACTTAGAGCTAGGTCAAATCATATCACCTAAACACACAAATGGAAATCATTGGGCATTTGGTTCATGAAAATTCAAAAATATGCCTATACATCACAACTGTGTGCATTGAGAACCCACGGAAACAATTTTTACTGCCTCACATGCTGAAATATTGCTACTTTTAAAAATTCAGAACCTAAAATTTCAGTTTTTAATTTGTTAATACAAATATCCTGTAGATATTTTTAAAATTGCAATCTTATCTTCAGAAGAATTTGTAACACTTGTTCTTTAATTCCTGCTCTGGGATCCTCAGTTCTTTTGCATTTGCTTTTGCAGGTAATTGGGAGTTCTCTTCTCTTCATCCATGACAAGAAGGAGCAGGCCAAAGTATGGATGATTGATTTTGGGAAAACCACTCCACTTCCAGAGGGACAGGTTCTGCAGCACAATGTGCCCTGGATAGAGGGGAACAGAGAGGATGGCTACCTATGGGGGCTGGATAATCTTATTGAGATCCTAACAGAGTTGTCTCAACATGAAGATCTGCATTAAAACCAAGAGTCCACAGTCCACCACCTAGTTCCTCCAACTGACTTTCTGATCTGCACTACAAGACACTTTTCTTCCACGTTCTCTTCCAGTTCTAAAATTTAAAAGTTCCTTTTCTTTTATTTAAGGCAGAGACCCCCAAACGTAGCACTTTTAAGACTTGTAGACTTCAACACCCAGAATTCTCCAGCCAGTTATGCTGGAGAATTCTGGGAGTTGAAGTCCACAAGTCTTAAAGATGCCAAGCTTGGGGACCCATGATTTAAGGTATAAATAAAATGTAATTTTCCCGAAGAAACACTGAACAAGAAGTTAATCCAGATAGCAATATTGGCCTTGGGAGTTAGGTCTCCTACATCCTAAAATGGAAAATAACTTTTGTGTAAAAAAACAGATAAAAGTTATTATGTGCCCGAGTACCAGAAAGATAATGCCCTAGACTTGTTTAAATTGTATCTAGTTAATAATCTCTAGAGTGAAGGATACATTTGTAGTTATCTGCTGCCCTCTCATGTCCAAAGCTAGCATTATTTGGGGCAACTGATGTTGAAAACATGCTTATATTGGGCATTTTTATAGGTGTTCTTTCTTTGTGGGAATGCCCCACAAAAGGAATGGTAGCAATTTATATTTACTAACTTTCCTAAATATAAGAATTAGAATATAATAGTTTATAGGAATAATTAAACATCAGATAGACTTCTCTACATAAGGAAGTAATTTCTTGTTGGCTTACTGTGCAATATATACATAGTTGTAGCAACTGCAAAAGTTTGCCTTTGTGGGTTACATTACATGGTGCATTCATTTAGCTACTGAAATTAGTTTGGACTACTGAAAACAAGGGTCTGATCCTTTCTCTACCCTTCCATTAATTTGGGATGACCTGGTCACATGGCAGGAAAGGGGCTGCTGCAGAGTAACAAAGGCACTGACTGCCGTCCTCTGGGTGTCTTTTTGTTAGCACTGCAGTACCTCTTGAAAATGATAGTGCATTCTCAGGTGAGTTCCCAAATCATTCCAAATCTCCCATTGTAAGAAGAGAGATTAACTAGACCTAACATATCAGCAAGCAGAGTATTATAATGGTAAAGTTTGTATGTCTGGCAAGGAATATGGGAAAGGAGATGGTAAGTAATTTGGTAGTGATATAGGCAGACTCTAAATGAGGATTTGCCACGTTCAGTCTTGCAAATATATCTGAGTCTCTATTTAGGATATACAAGTTATTATACAAGTTCCTGGAACATTTGAATTGGACTGCTGAAATCAAGTGATCAGCAACTGGGAGAGAAATATTATTGGTGCATTTGATTTTCTTTGGAGAACTCAATACTGCAGAAACCTTGGATATTGAGACTATAAGTCTATGTTACATTTTTTTCTGAGCCATTTCCTGGCTATTGTTTTCAACCTTTCCATATTTATAATGTATTCCATATTCTATAGCTAATATGTTGTTACTATTCTTCCAAACTGTAATGCTGTAATCCTGTTTCTTGCATCCAGAGGTGCTGTCCTTGAAACAATTGCATTTGTTTTAGAGAGCAGCTATTCATTGGCATTCAGTCCCTTTGAAAGCTTTCCAGAAAGATTCTATCCCATTGTTCCATTCATGTATCACTAAGATAATGTTGCTTTTTTTTAGTGCTGTTGTAAATAATTGCTTTGCTTAAAAGTTTTTTTCCCTTCAGGCTTCTTATGCTGTTTAATAATAGCCTATGCTGAAAGTGCCTTATGGACTAGTGTCTGTTCCACTCAGTGTCATGAAAAAAAATGTGGTTTTTTAAAGTACTATTTATTGTCATACTTTTACAGTAGTTATCTAGAACACTAAGTCTTAATGCATGGAATTTTGTAAAGGATAATGCTTGGCGTTTGAAATCTCTTTCTGCATTTATGGAAAGAGGAAGACCATGAAACAGCTTCAAGTCATCCTATTTTAAAAATGTATTTAGCTTTTAAATTACTTCTATTACATACTTTTTAAAAAAAAATGCTGGTTTGTTTGTAAAATAAGATTCTTTGCTTTATGGCTTTTAAAGAAGTGAAATGTTTCTCCAGATATCTTTTGGATCTTTCTGGAGGCTGGAACTATTGCTGTGAGGTATTTCTCCTAACACTTTCCACCCCGTTCCCCTTGATTAGCAGGGAGATGAGGAACTTGCAGAGGAACATCACCAGTGCACAGTGCCTGTAAGTCAAACAACTTAAAATAAAAACATACAACATGATTTTTTTGTTGTGATAGATTATCATTTGTAATTGCTTACATCAGATATTCTGGTCGTGAGAGGCTGGTGTAAGAAATTGTATATTTCTTAATATACAATACTTTGATCTACTGACCGGTACTACAGTGTTGACAATATGGGACAATCAAAGTCCTAAATTCTATCATACCAAAATTACTAAATTTCCAAATCTATCTACTTAACACTTTGATGTACATTTAGATTTTGGTATAGGTGTATAATTGTCTGATATTCAAGTCAATGAATTATTCAATTCAAACTATAGTACAGTAGACCCTCTGGTCACGACCACAATTCGTTCCATAACTTTGGTCGCAACCCGATTTGGTTGTGACCCAAATCTAATTTTGGAAATTTAGCGCTTTAAAAAAAATGGTGTGGAAGGGGAAATCGGCCACGGGAAAAAAATGTGAATTTTTTGGTCGGAACTCGATTTGGTCATAATCAGAAGTGTTTGTGACCAGAAGTTCTACTGTATAGCAAAGAGTAATATTTTAGAGATATTTAATATCTTAAATTTAAGCCATGCTAATAAATTCTTAAACACCAATTATTTTGTATTTTTATGCCAGCATTTTTTATTCCATCTTACTATGTATCTCAATAAACAAACTGTCCGTTCTTAACAAGCATGTTCCTACAAGGTGAGAGCTATAAGTATTCATTGGGGTATAAATAAGTAACAGAAAAATATAAGTCAGTTCAGTGTTCTATTTTTCTGTATGGTCTCTATCTATAATGCACATAAGATTGTGCATACTATAGTAAGCGATTTGGAAATAAGTCCCAGTGCTATCACTTAAATAGCATACTGTCATATTAAACTATTGGTAATAGAAAGTTCTTTTTTCTCAGAGTTCTGGCTCTTTTCAGTTACCCAGATTGGACTTTATTCTGATATCCCAGAATTAGGTTCTTTGAATGGTAGACAGCTTGATTGGTATATCCAAAAATTTAGCCACATTTTAACACGCAAACTAACATAATAGGGACAGTGTTTCTGTGTTGCTTTATATGTTGAATAGAATAACAGGGAGCTTGGAGGTCTTCTAGTTCAACCCCTGCTTAGGCAGGAAACCTACACCCCTTCAGGCAAATGGTTATCCAATCTCTTCTTAAAAACTTCCAATGTTGGAGCATTTACAACTTCTGGAGCAAGTTGTTCCACTGATTAAATGTTCTGTCAGGAAATTTCTTATTAGTTCTAAGTTGCTTCTCTCTTTGATTAGTTTCCACCCATTGCTTCTTGTCCTACCCTCAGGTGCTTTGGAGAATAGCTTGACTCCCTCTTTTTTGTGGCAGCTCCTGAGATATTGGAACACTGCTATCATCTCACCCCAAGTCCTTCAGACTAGACATACTCAGTTCCAGCAACTGTTCTTTATAGGTTGTAGCCTCCAGTCCCCTAATTGCTCTTCTCTGCACTCTTTCTAGAGTCTCAGCATCTTTTTTACATCATGGCGATCAAAACTGGATGCAGTATTCCAAGTAAATGATCTTGATTCTATCCCTCTGTTTATGCAAACTAGAATTGTGTTGCCTTTTTTGGCAGCTGCAACACACTGCTGATTTATGTTTAAGTGATTGTCCACTAGGACTCCAAGATATCTCTAAGAGTTACTACTATTGAGCAGGGTACCACATATACCCTACCTGTGCATTTTGTTTTTCTTGCCTAAATGTAGAACCTTATTTCTGTCACCATTGAATTTAATTTTGTTAGACAGTGCCCAATGTTCAAGTCTGTCAAGATCCTTCTGTATATTAAGCCTATTTTCTGGAGTGTTGGCTATTCCTGCTAGCTTGGGATTGTCTGCAAATTTGATGAGTTCCCCATCAATCCCCTCGTCCAAATCATTGGTGAAGATGTTGAAGAGTACTGGGCCTAAAACAAAGCCTTGGGGTACCCCACTGCATTCTTCCCTCCATGTAGATGCAGTTGGTCAGCCAGTTACGAACTGATCTGGTGGTGATACTGTCTAATGCACATTTTTCTATTTTATCAAGTAGTAGGTTATGGTTTACTTTATCAAATGCCTTACTGAAGTCCAAGTAAATTATATCAACAGCATTTCTCTGGTCGACTAATTTTGTCACTTTGTCAAAGAATGCAATAAGATTAGTCTGGCATGATCTGTTTTTGACAAACCCATGTTGGCTTTTGATTATTACTTGTTTGCTTCTAGGTGTTCGCTGATTTGCTGCTTGATTATCTTTTCCAGAATCTTCCCTTGTATTGACGTCAGGCTAATAGGTCTGTAATTTCCTGGATCTATTCCCCCCCCCCCCCTATTTTGAACATGAGAACTATATCAGCTCTTTTCCAGTTCTCAGGCCGTTCCCCGGTGCTCCAGGATCTTTGAAAGATATAGTTCAGTGGTTCTGAGATCTTGTCTGCCAGTTCCTTCAGAACCTTGGAGTGTAATCCATCTGGCCCTGGTGATTTGAACTTGTCCAGGGTAGACAGGTGCTCACTTACCATTTTCTTCCTTATTTTAACCTGTGTTCCTAATCTGTTTTTTGTGGTGCTGTTTTTTGATAGGTTGGACTGTTTCTTCCCTTTGTGTAAAGACAGATGCAGGATCTGTCACATATGGTATTTCTTGAGGGAAAGGTACCATTCACTCTTATCTCAGAACTACCTTGGTTTGTCATCTTCATTATGAGGTGGGAACTAAGTTCTGAGCAACTCCAGTTACCGTATCAAAATTGGTTCAGGAATTATAGGGACAAATATAAATGTAAAATAATTGCACAAGACTGGGAGCTACGCTATGGAACTCTTGGATGTTTTTCATACCTAAGAATAAGCATAGATCTCAGTAGTCACAGTTGCCCATTTTCAGAAGAGTCAGAAAAAATGTTATAATAAAGCACTTGTCTAATGTAATTACACAATTCCTGAAATCAGGATAAATGACACTGCATAAT